AGTGAAATATGATCCCTATACGGTAATACTCATTGCCATGAATGTATCTTATCTGCTAACACTCTCCAGTGTGTTTATACTGAAGAGAGAGAGAGAGGATAGTGACTAATGATAATGTCCTTGTCACCATAGGCTATACATTGTCAGTTGTAGTATTATTGGACAGGATGAATGTGTGTAGTAGCTATGGTCATATGGTGTTACTAAAGTTGGCAAGACACGTTGCAGTTCGATAAGATTGACATGCACATGTTTCTATCACATGTACATATTCAAACAATGGACCATTGTCATGTTTACCGGGCAATCATTTACTTGTGTGTTATATTCATTATAATAATAATGTAGTTTTTAAATGCACGTGCACACTAACTGACAATTGCAACAAAATAAAAGAAAGGTTTTACTAGTGACAACCAAGTTCACTATTAGTCTTAACAGTATATTCGTTATTTTACTAAGAAAAGGGACTTCACTGAGTAACAGACCCATTTCTCTTATAGTATGTGTACTGTGTAGATACATAAAGTATCAATTTGCTATAGATGAAGTAGTACTATCACTATAGAGTCTATTCATAGCTACTGGCACCATGCATTATTAATCATATCATAGTTGCCTTGAATGTATCTAACTAAAGAGAGAGAGAGAGGTTAGTGACTAATGACAATGTCCTTGTCACCATAGGCTATACATTGACAGTTGTAGTAATATTGGACAGGATGAATGAGTGTAGTAGCTATGGTTGTATGGTGTTACTAAAGTTGGCAAGACATGTTGCAGTACGATAAGATTGACATGTACATGTTTCTATCACATGTACATATTAAACCCAACGTTTTCTGATACATATCGATGTCTTTATGCTGTGTAGGAAGTTTGAGCTTATTTTGATCAAGTATTAATTTTTATAATACTTCTGAAGTTACTCATGAATATGCCAAAGACACTTATTATCAAACTTATACAGTTCATTAATCAATTATGATAATAATTATCACCATCATCATTATTATGAAATGTTCAGTTGTATATTATTATTATTATTGTTGTTGTTATTATTATTGTTGTTGTTGTTGTTGTTATTATTGTTAGGTAATGATCAGGAGTATGGTGGTATTATTAGGCATGGAGCTAAACTATTGTATGCTTACACCTCCATTTAATGGACAGCACCTAGTGTACCAATTACATTCCTTACTGTATAAAATAACCTCCACATGAAGGACACCTCTGTATAACAGAGACACTTTCAAAGTGTCCATTATATAGAGGCTAGCCTGTACATGTATTTGTAATGGGGAAATTGCAATTCAATATAAATGTACATAATGTATTGAGACTACAGCTCATAATGATTTAAACTGTTTTTAAGTTATTGCTACATTCAGTTGAAATTTACTGTTGGTTTGTCATTGACAGGCTTATGGTGGAGCCTATGATGTGATGAGCTCCAAACATTTAAGAGGTGACATTAATTATGCCTGGCCTACTGCTGAGATAGCAGTAATGGGAGCAAAGGTAATTAATAATAATAATAATAATAATAATAATAATAATAATAATACTTATTATTATTGTTAGGGAGCTGTTGCTATTTTATATCGTGGAAAGACTCAAGAAGGTATTGATTATTATTATTACTATTTATTATTATTGTTATTATTATTTATTTATTTATTTATTAGAATTATTAAAGTTACAAGCAGAGTATGAATCAACTTTATGCACTCCTTTACAAGCAGCTGCTAGAGGTGAGACCTCCCTCCATTTCTTACCATTAATAATATTCATTTTAGGATTCATTGATGATATTATAATGCCTAGTACCACTAGAAGGCGTCTCATTACTGACCTGCAGCTTCTTTCCACTAAAACCCAACACACTTTTAATAAGAAACACGGGAACATACCTTTGTAACTAATAATTAATTATTATAATTATTATTTGAATTATTGCACAAGATCTTGTGAATACTCAGCTCAAACTTTCTGCACAGCATAAGGACATCAATACATGTTTTTTGGAGCCATTGTTTGGAAAAAACCATGGGATATAGTACAGGGTGTATTTTAGAATTTGCTAATTTAAAAAATGACCTACTGTCTACTGATGACAATGGTCCATTGTTTGAATATGTACATGTGATAGAAACATGTACATGTCAATCTTATCGTACTGCAACATGTCTTGCCAACTTTAGTAACACCATACAACCAC